GGGTTCGGGAGTGGCTTGCTTGCTTAATTGCTACTCTAGGTGTACGTACATGCATCAGATAAGCATTGCTAGCCAGTACTTAATATTTCCATAATTCAGGTGGTGGCTATTTCCTCATTCCCTCAGCGAGTCCTCGCCGATCCTCACCAATGTGGCGTGGCGTAAATCGATAAACAACAATGCTGGGCTGGTACTACATCGTATCGTATCGTATCGTATCCCATATTGTTCGCTAGTTTAGACGCCGACAGGCGCCCAGCTGCCGAACCGAACGCCTCGGGGGAAAAAAGCAATGAGTGTCATCAATCCCGTCCCGGCGCGGTCATGGATCAGTACGTAGACTATCGTAGATCGGATGTCGTGATTCGAACGGTTTGCAACGTTCTTTCCTTTCTTTTTCTCCTTTTCCCCGTTCCCTCTTCCGGAAGGAGCGGAGAGACTGAAGCGGTTGCAAATAGAAGCGGGTGTGGGGGTAAATGAACAGCAGATTGAGGAAGGGGGTGCATCGATGAAGAAAGAGCGTGGAAGGGGCAACTTAAACGGTGTTGACCCGACTCGGAAGGCGTATGGACTGGAGCAAATCCTCCTACAATGGAATGGTCTTGGGGTTTGCGACTCATTGCACTTAGACTTCTTGATGAATGTGGTAGATACGCAATTATACGAGTAATGTCGATACTCGATTTGTTGAGTTTGGACTGCTACATTTTGACATTCCCAAAACTAGGAGCTCGTGTCGGAGATTACGAGAGTTGCTGGGTCGGCACGGGGTACCAGAGCACTCAACGGTCAGTAATGGTAGGTGGTTTGGACCCTCCTTTGAGAATTACCGCCCTCGTCATTGCCCATCCATCTCTTGTAGCCACGTAGGTACCACGGCTCGTTTGTTCTTTCTTATTTTGGTAGGAGCTGGGCCGTTTTGGACGGAGTTCGCAGCCTGCCGAGGACCTCACGACCATGTGTATAACCCACAAACTTTCAGAGCGGCTTCATCCGCCTTTTGGCGTCCAGGCAGGTAGACTTGATTTGGGCCTCTTTGCGTTAACCAACACAGTTCCCTTGGTGCATTTCGTCTTCTCGTCACCTAAGACTTGGGGCATTTTCCCGAGTTCGGAAACATCTCGCTCCTTCCGTCCAGTTTGTTTACCTATGGAAGGGCCCACTGCACTTCGAGACCATTCGAATATTTGGACGGAAGGCACAAAGATACGGGCCGCACGGGTCCAACGCCAGGATGACTTAGGTAGACAGCCGGTTCATCTTTCCAATTTCCAGTTTTGCCGAACATCATCTTCCACATTGCTTCCTTATTGCTCGCTCTTGGTGTCAGGAACAATCCCCGAATGTCTGTTTTGTGATGTTCTTTTTCGTTAACCCCTCACCCCCCGACGACACAAAATCCGCAAGCGTGGCCAACATGCACCTCCCTGTCGAGCACCTCCCCGTCGACCGGATATTCACTTACTACTGACGGGACCTGAAGATGGACCTAAGTCAGGATTTCCTAGTCAAGAGTTAAGCTGGCGTCATAATCCACCCCAGTTGCTTGTCGCTCATCTATCTACCCTATCAGCTTCGCTAACATGAACCGTGTCTATAAAAGTGGTAGGAGCTTCCTGCACGCTGCCTATTCTTCACCCCCTCTTCTCGTCATCTTCACTTCGGACTTCCATTGGTGCCTTATCTGCCGGAAGCTCTTTTACCGTCTTGTTGTTTCCATCTGGTGACAACCATGATCCTGGCGACCGCATGTACCTAGGTAAGAACCGTGGATTCTTGTCAACGGAGGGAAGGGGATGTGTTATGTGGATGTCCCGTTAGTCCAGGCGACAACCTTTCAGGTTTGCGCTTCTGGATTTACCATTTTCTGCCTGTCGTCTATTTTGTTCGGTCTTCCTCCCTTTAGATGTCGTCCTGTTTATATCGAGCTCTTACCTATCTAGGTAGTTCTTCTTCTCTTCCTTCTTCTCTTCCTCTTTGGGCGCGAACTCCTGAGTCGACGCATCTGCATCAGTAGCTGTATGTCTCTCTGACTGCCATACTCTCAACAAAACCCCTTTCGGTCCTTTCTCTGGATCTTGACGTGTGAAGAAGGAAGGTGGGCTTTGTTGATGGTGTGTCTATGACACCGTCATCCTTCTAGATGGGTGGTGTTTATGTCGGGAAGCCGATGGTGTGGTAAGTGCCACGATTCATGTCGACTCGGTCACAGACCACCAGGATCGAGACCGTAATAGAAATGACGATGCGATCACAGAGTCAACCACGGCCTTGGCGAAGAACATGTGGAAGAGTGTGAGCACAAGCCTGATCCTCGAGTCCATGCCAAATCAGGGTCCCGGTCGGATGCACAAAACAAATGTCAACCAGACAGACCCTATCACCCAGATGATGATTGGTTTTTGAAGCTTTAGTACAGGAGTCAGTTGTTGTCGCTATATCGCTTTCCGCTTTAACTAACTTCCACGACGTATAATTATCTGCAGAAGAGACACCTTTCGAACGTGCTCGTTGCTGTTCCACGACGAAGGAATGTCCCGATGTTCCACACCTAATTTACTCAGCGAAACTCCATCACTTCTACTGTTCCACTGACTCACGAATATTTCTATATGCAGCCTCCTTTGACGCGAGATAATCAGTCCACGTGCTTGATGTTGGTGCTCCATGGCTTCCATTGATAGGCTTGATCCTATAGATGATGGCTTCTTCACATCGACCGACCGTATTGTTTGAACCAACCTGGCTCCTGGGCTGATGCTCCTGATTGTTGTCGGTATCACGCCCAACAGTCCCGTCAGTTCCTCTCCGCGAACAGTCTTTCTTCATGGCGAAATTGACAATCTACCGTCCTTACCTGAGGTGTGCATATGCATCCCATCAATTCAAGTTCTGATTTTGGCAGGGTCCCCTAATCAGGCACACTGTGGCAGCCTAGGACCAGGCTTCCTCACTTATTGCCCCTTCCGAACCCTTTTCGGGATCTTTCTTGGCGGCAGAGATACGGTCAGAAAGACCCCGGCTCTTTGTGCTCAGTGATGCCAAGGTCTTGCATCGAAATCTGCTAAAGTTTGGAGTATGTTGCCTCACGATGGTGCTGTTTCTGGTGCTGTTTCTCTTCTCTTCTTCTTTTTTTTTTTTTTTTTTTTTTTTTTTTGGCTCGCTTGCAGAGTGCATTCAACTTGGCATCTTCGTTCTCCACCAACTACAATCATTGCCTGGCTCCCGTGCTTTGTGAATTATGGCCGGCAGATGTAATTACAGCCAAAGCTGATGGCAGAGCCTCAAGAGTCTTGCGCGCAAGTTAGCAACGCCACATAGTTTCACCTACCTTTTCCACCAGAGGGATACTTATCTGGACTGCTAAGTAGAAACTGGAGTTAGAATCAAGTAAAGCAAATGCTGCTATGCAAGGTCTCCCTGTCAGGACAGGAGAATATACGTGGAGGTGGATAAAGGATGGTGTCTGACATTTTCCGTCATCTACCTGCATTGTTTTTGGTCCAGTCTCTGTTCTGTTGGACCGATGGTTTTGGTGTCTTTGGAGGCTCCGTCAGGCACTCGGCTACAGAAGCAGCTTCACCGTTGCCAGAGAAGTGTAACAGTCCGGACCCAACAAACCCGGAGCGTCACGACAGCAGTGTCTGCATCCTGACTGATCCAATCCGGGATGACTGCACTCCGTCACGGTCAGGTTAGGCGGTTCGGTCTACCGCCACCACCTCAGGGTTGTTAGACGGGTGACGTGTGGTTCGCTCTCCAACTGGTAGGTACATCGGTACCTCTTCTTACCTACCAATTAGCGGAAGGTACCAGTAACAGAAGAAGATAGGCATTACCTTACTACCCCTCGGCTATGAGGAAAGACCGCTGAAGCAGCCGCAAGCTACCCGCTATTTGGCGCCTTCTGACCCGACCCCCCCTGGACGAAGAAATCAGAGTGGAAGCTTCCACTTGAATATGAAGGCTCGGCCCATGGTTTCAAGAGGGTTCTTTCCTATCAAGCCCGTATCGAACTCAATTCCACCCCCCAGTTTCTTGGCAACACACTGGCGGGGGCTGTCTTTCGTGGACATTGTTATGTCGTGCATTACCTACATGCATACGCGGACAAAGCATCTTAAAGCCATGGAATAAGCGAACCGGAAGAGGCAACCGAGGACCCAACCCGTCCTTCCCAGATATATGTGTTCAACCAAGTATCAAACACCCCTCCAACTGCTGATACTCTGTATGTGCTTCAAAACGCAGGAGAGCTTTTTCGAGCCCATAACATAATCCACCATCCCCCTGTGCGCACAATACACCACTTTCTTCCCTTACCCCCGTGGGATGTCACCTTTTTATCATGCTATCTTTACCGAGGACGTCTTCCCATGCGACGAGGAATTTTTGTTTCCTGCGCACACTTCATCCAGAGTTTCTCACCTTCAACTCATCCCTAGTGATCTATCCAGAACAAGTTGTCCCCCGCCGAGTTGGAACATATATGCGATCGAATAAATGCATGCAACCTGCACTTCCACCATCGCCACCTGCTTGACTTCCTCAACACTGGGCTCGCCTGAGGAGCAATGAAGTTCTGCGCATTAGTTGTTGGAGAATTCTATAATGCAAAAATAACATTTCTGATATCTGTCCTCTTTTCAAAGTGGCAGGAACCTTTTCTCTCCGAGCACATACCTCTCTATAAGATCCCTCCAGAGTCTATTCCCACTTCGACCACGAACATTATGCTCGCGAACTCTCTGACATTGTATTCTCGTCAAATATCACGGCCGCATTTTTAATGCACCCAGCAATCTACTTCCACCTCTGTTATCATCCGAACGGACTCTCTATCTGGCACAAATACGCCCATTCTTGCTACCCTCCTCCGAAAACGCAAAAGAGAATATCGTTTAATTCATTTCCACTTTCTTCTTTCCGAAACGTACGGTTCGTTAATATTTCCTGACTCTACCATCCAACAAAACTAACACGAGTCTTTCATAGACACGATGGGTCGCCACGTCTGCCCAGAAGATTGTGAGCTTCACAAAATTTGCATTGGACCAGCGTGCGAATGCCGCAAGCAGGACGGCCGCCCAACATCCTGCTACCCGTGTAGGCTGGCCAAGACGGCTTGCCGACCGGGATTGAGGGGAGGAGGGATGTGCGGGCGGTGTTTGAGAAAGGGCAGCCCTCACCACTGTAATAGACGTGGTGGTGAGGGCGCTCAAGGCGAGGGTAGGCCTGCCGACCGTCACGGCCCTCAGTATCCGGTGGACTTTGGTCCCAACACCGGTGAGGCGCTGCTGGCGGGAGGGATGGAGGCACCCTCACCAATCCTTCAGCAGCCAACCCCCCCGGAATCAGTCCGGTCCGCCTCTAATGAGCCGGGTCCGGTACTGTTTCTGGGTTCCACGCCTCCTCCCCTCTCGGCGCCTACACTTACTCCTGCTCCCTTCCGTCCTAATGCTTCGACTTTCCCTCCTCCAGCTTCCCCTGATCCTACGGTTTCCCATCCCGTTCCCGGTTTCTCTCCTGCCGCGGCTCTTCCTTTCGCGGCCGTGCAGTCTCCCGCCGCTGGTCTCTCTCCTGCTTTCGCTCCTTCCGTTCCGGCACCCATTTCTTCCGATCGCATATTCAGCCCTTTTGCCTCCGCCCCACAATGTGATTGCCCCTTAAGGTTGACCCGGGCGAAAGACGGAATTGAACCTCAATTGGCTGCAAACAACCACAATTTTCTCGTCCGCCCTGTCCTTCTCGCGGAACAAGAGCTAGTCGACGCTCTCAGCCAAGTTTCGTGCTGTGTGCATTGTTTTGAGCGCTACAAAAGGAGCCAGCTGCATCTTATGGATATTTGCCGTCTAATAATGAAAGGAGTGGCCGCATTGACGGGACGTGTGTTGCCCAAAGCCCGGTGGTTAAAGCCTGAGGAGAAGGGCGACACCCTTCAGGTGTTGTTAACTTTTATTGCTTTCCTGCGGCAATTTGGCGAGCGGGAGCCTGCAGTGGGAGTCATCGGTTCAGTCACCAGTTTGTTCAGTGACTTCAAACGAAACTGGAGCTACCACTACGTAGCTAGCACTCCCAGGTGGGCTAGAGCATCGTCACCGAGCTCTAGTCTCCGTCTACGACCATTCAACAAAATCACAATCAGCGTCGACTAATGAACCACTAGATGGTTCCTCACTCCGAACGAGAACGACCAAAGACAATGCGATTCCCAAGCCCGATCCCCAAACAGAGAAAGATATGTTGGGTGTGAAGTAGTCAAGTCATCCCTGAGACAGACACATACACACACAAACACTCAAAATCTGTTACGGGACTTTCTTGGCACCCTATACATCCATCGCCTATTCGGAAGGAACGAGTTATCAAATCTAGCACCAGCGTCAAGAGGACATCACTCGAGAAAGACAGCGATTTTTCTGGGGTGGCTATCAAGGTGTGTGGAAACCATGAAAAACGCATATACAACTTCTTCTTACATAATCCAGACACATGAACACACATACACGAACACGACAACGCATCACGACACCATAGACATCATCATCATCATCAACATTTGGTCGTACAACAATGTGTTTTTTTGGGCGAGAAGCTGTCATTCAGACCTTTTCCTCGTTTTGGGAGGAAGGGAAAAGAAAGATTGTATGCTCATGTACACGACGACGACGAGGACGAATACCAGCTACTTGTGAAGATATGTATTATATGGGGTTGAATCAGCATTGGACTTGCGTCTTTCCTTTTGTATCTTCTTGCCTCCTTATGCTGGGGCTTTGTATGGATATGGGAAGGAATGTGCATCTTCGGGCTGGGAAGAGGGGCTGGTATACGGGACAGCATTGGTTGTGGGAATACCAGTCTCTAGCTTTTTGCATTTGTATATGGCACGGGTGATCACCTTGTAACTGGAACGAAAGGTCTTGGATCGGATAGCCCATTGTATTCTTTTGAGGAGAATGAACTCGAAGCAGATCATCAATTTGTTATAACATCCATGGCAAGCAGTACAGGAACACACACACGTCTAGATCTGTCCATCCATGCTTTTAAGTGGTCCCGCTACCATTTTATTCCATTAAATTTATTCTAGAGTGGTCTTATTTCCCAACAGCTACTATTTCCAGGTGCCGAACTGGCCACACGGTCGCACCCGTCTGTCTCCCAGCCCATCCTAGCTCACCACCTGCATCTTCAGACCTCGTCGTCGTAACAAGCGCCGGAAACCTGACTTGTATATACCCTAGCCCCAGTGCATAGGCCAGGCCAGGCCGAGTGTTCTCCAGCGTTAAAGGACCATGAGGTATGCGGCGTACGCGCGCAAACCCGTGCTCGCAATATCTCCGCTCCCTCGAGATGAGTCTAACATCAAGTTACCCGTCAGGGCTAAACTCGCCTTCTTTCCCCCAAGCCTGACGAGTACTCCTACCTAGCTTCCTCTTACTGTATGATACATTGATGGTGCCTGCCTGGACAAAAGGCACCACTTTGGTGATATCGATCGCATCACGAGACCTTTCCTTCCAAAGTGCAGTAATCGTTGTGTGTAAGGATGAGCGACTGCAACCCCCGGCTCGGCAAACAGAAGGATAGGCCGCTCTTGCCTTTGTTATTGTTATCCAGAATTTCGGTTCGCCGTGCCCTGGACTAGCCTCTGTCGTTCTTGTCTTCCATGCTGTCCCCTGTAGTTTTCACTGCGAATTTCAAGCACGCAGGCGCGGGACCAAATGCGAGACGAAAAGATGCCCCTGCCATCTCCCCCGCTTCCTGAACGCTAGCCCCTCATTCCCTGCTCTTGGTTCCTTCCTGATTAGGAACTCGCTCGTCCTTGGTAGCCAATCAGACGATGTGCACACAATGATCTGCGCTAGCTCTTTCCTAGCGCCCGCCCACAAAGTCCACCATTTCGCAACTCTATTTGGATCAGATATTGTTCTTTGGAAGGGTCAAGCGTGGTCGTAATTTTTCTGCCATCGTTTTGTTTTTCAGTCTTCGAATTGAATACTGCTGAGCTTTTCGTCTGCCCTTGCTGTTTCCAGGATAGGTCCGGAATTCGGGTGGAGGAGGCAGGGCACAAAGGGCCGGGCTTGCAGGTTTCGTGGTAAGTGTCATTCCAAGCGTTCCCGTCCGGAGCGTAATATTCTTGTAACCAAGCAATCGCTCTACCCATATCCTTCTCCTTCGACGAAGTTAGGGTTAACAGACAACACCTTGGTGAAGTGGCGACCAGGGAACCCCCTAAATAATCGTAGATACCTTCACAGCACGTATCCTTTCCCCATGGAGAAGAATTGCATTGGCGTCCTAAGTTGCACGATGGCAATCCACCTGGAATTGGTGGTGCAAGAGCAGCTATTGAGGTTCCGCAAAAGTCAAACCTGCTTCAGCGATACACCGCCTTAGCGTGGGCTGGGTTCGGGTCGGGTTGCAACCCTGCCATTTTGTCCCCTCCCCTCCAGGGAGGGCGTTCAGTGTCAACAACTAGCCCCACCACGACTCGCACCTTCCCGCGCCTCAACCACCAACTCCCGCCTTCCAATTACCCCCTTCTACTTTCCTGGTTGTATCGTTATCATCGGCTGTCTCTTGCACCTTATCCTTCTCTTGTCGCCCTATTTGACTTCTCTTCCACCTTGAGAGCTACGGTTTTGCACATAAGTGTCGCACCTCGGCCGGAGCAACAGAACCCTGAACCTCGCAATTGCGGCCGCTCCAGCGCTGGACTGGATACGTACACGGTAATACCGAACCGATACAGCATCACATCAGCAATCAGTGCCGCCAACCTGGTACCCATTCAAAATCGGTTTCGGCGAAATGGTACGCTCGCTGCTGTTATCGCCCTCCATTCATCCTTTGGCCAATTGAAGCTGACCTTTTGCAGTGCGAGATGCCGTGGAACTCGCATTACCAAGGGTTACACAAGCATACAGCAAGAGCGAAGACAGCGACCGACGAGGCCAACATCGGAACGATAGCCCATCCATAACCTATACTCCTCGACACACGTGCATGTCCAGCTGCAATTACAACAAGCCCAAGTGTACCGGCATCTTGGACCCCGGATCCCCCGCTGTCATCGATTCAACATCTCCGGCGACAGAGAGCAATTGTGCGACAAGTGCAACGTGAATCCTTACTTTGTGTCGCCCATGTCGCAACATGCTCTACACACGACATGTTATCACCAGCCTGCCTCCCGAGAATCATAATACCTATTTGGGACCATCTCCATGGTACGATGTGCTGGCCCTCAAGAAACAAGACATATCCGGGAGCTTCTAGGCCTCTAGACCACAATTGTTTCCAACTTGGGCGTATCCACTGTGCCTTGCTGTGCCCTTGGAAGGCACATACAGGCAAGCCTCAACCGCCTCTGATGCAACCTTTGGAGCGCGAGTGCCGACGATTCGAAGCTCTCCCATGGGTAAGACGCAAAGACAACACCCTTTCCAAAGCCCAGGTAGATATCTGATACAGGTCGAGCCTTGAGCTGACGGGAAGCCTTTCCGGTCTCTTATCAACCAATACGGCTATCATTCCCCACACCAAGCTCTGTTGAACAGAAACGCTGATGCTGCAAAAGTCTGGCACTTTCCACCCTAAACCTTGAGCTTATGCTCATCTTGCAGCCCGTGGCGCTATTTAAGTCACATCAAGGGTGCTTTCGGGACCGAGAATCACTGCCTTCGTGACCGGTAGAGGCCTTGATGTTAGATACGATGACGCCTGGATAATGCGACCGCGCGACTATCAAAGGGCGCCAAGGCGCACGCCAGCTCCAGGGCAGCCACTTCCACAACACCCAGCCGTCTTGCATATTGACATTGACCCCATCAACAGTAAGATTGGCTTCCATGAAAGACGGAAAACAAGCCCGATAAGATCACCAACGCTGGCTTCCGGAAGGAGATACAGCCGCAAGAAGTCCAAGGGCGGGATCACTTTCAGATGCCGTGTCTTTCCCTCAAGGCCGGGAGGCTCTCTCTTATCCACGTTCTATCTCAACAGCTACATCGATTGGCAAAGCGAAGACCAGTAATACAACATGTCGCAGTCCGCTCCCTTTCAGGATCTTTTTTCGTCTGCGCCAACATGGCCGTTCCGAGCTGATGATGTTTCTAGAATAGGTGATGCTCATGTCAATGATTGGCATACACAATACCCGACATGGCTAGAACCACCCAGATTGGGTACCGCTGCGCATCAGTGGCCTCGTATCAGGACACAACATGTGCTTTTTGTTGATGCGCAAGCCACAAAACGCTTCCTTTCTTCAAGGTGAGTGAAGATCCTTGCCAAGCACAGCCCTATGGGCGGCAAGCCAAGCTCTGGTGTAGGGTCTAGGTGATGCCTGTAGCAACGGGATGTCATCACAACACTCAAATATATGACTTGGCTGGCCATCTAAGTAGGTCTTTGAAGCGTTTCTTGTTATCCAGATGATTACGGCCTTGCAGGTGAATAATTCGCAAGGGCCCGCCACCACCATGAAGCTGGGCGTTGCACAAAACACATTACCGATGAATGACCTCGGATAAGGGCAAGTAAGGCACCTGTGTTTACTGGTCTGCTAAAAACGACTACTCAACTTGACACCCCACGAACTAGACACACAACCTTCTCACGTCATGCTGGGCTGGCACACCTCAGCCGCAGTCCGAAATGTTCCGTAAAGGGGAGCTTCCTGCCACCCGTCTTACGTCCATCGTTGATTCGCAAAGTTGCTTACTCTCTGCTACACTCCATGTAGGCCATGGGGACACCAGCTCTCTTGGCAGGTGTTGCAGCGAGTTGTATCAAGAAGAGGTAAACCAGCGGAACGAGCCGTTGCGGCTACCGCCACGCCGAACTCGTCAGGTTGCTTACACCCTCAGCGACCTTCAAGACGAGCCTCGGCTTACATCCAATAACGAAGCGGTGACGTATTTAGCGGGACCCCAGGCAGAAGTGACTTCTTCCAAGTGTTGAGGTACTTGCTGAGGGTGGCACCAGTTTCCGTGACTTTGAGAAAAAGTCAACACCAGCATGGCATCCAAGTGGTCGATGGGATGCGTTGTGATACACAACCTCTGGCACCCAGAGAGGAGATCATCATCAGTATCTCTCCCAGTCACGGGTGCCAAGTCATATGTGGTTGTGCGGTCGAGCCTTC